TGAAAGAGTCCATATATCAATATCATCAATAGTTAGATTAAATGTTAAGTAAATTGGGCAATAGAATTTGTAATATGTATGATGTAGGCATGATCTTCAAATCATTCATGGAATAATCCTATTATCTTTAAAAAATTTTTTTCAGGAACTTTTGGAAGCCACCTCATGTATGTTAAAAGATTAAATATCTTTATACTTCCAGATATCTTTGAAAAAGATAATGATTCACAGAAACATTTAAAAACAAAGCAAAACTATAGTGTTTGGTTAATAAAAAATGAATTCATAATATATATTTCAAATGTTTACAAAATCAGCAATTAAACTGTAATTAAGGTAATGTAGTAAAAAACATTATTTGCATCATCATTTTGGTATGACTTGGTAGGCTAATAATGCATCTTGACCTTGGTATTATTAATGCATCTTCCAATCTCCAAGGACACCATTACAATTCCTAGTTGCCTTAGTTACCTTTGACTCTGTTTTGTTTTTCATATTAATGATATTTTAAATCCACTAATGAATTTGAAGCAAGTTCACTAAGGACCCATTTTTTTTCTTTTTATCTTTCTTATATTTAGCTGATTGCATTTGTTACAAATGATGATATAAAACAACTCCAATCATTCCAGTAGTGAAATTTCCAAGGGTTTGACTCTGTTTTAAGATGATTAAATCAGGAACACAACATTTTAAACGTAAGAGAATATTGCTAGTTTTTCCTGGCGGTATACTTGTCTATTGTTCTAGTAACTGTTCAAATTATATTGGAATTTTGTTTCCTGAAAAAGTGTTAGACATAGGGAAATTTGAGATACTAATGTATTTATTATCCCTGCAACCTTTCAGTGCAAGTTCAATGAGAAAATATCACTAAGAATTTTATATTCATCACCACTGACATTGTGTTCTGTGTGGGTAAAATAAATACTAATACATGAACGAAAGAATAAAGGTTAAGTATTTTCATATATTTAAGTTAATTACTTTTATCCATTTGCTGGTCAAATTAAAATATTCCATTATTTCATATACAGCTAAAATTTAGATAAGTTATATCTACATATAAAGATATAAAAAATAATTTCATTTCTGTAATGTCATTATTGAGAATATTAACTCTGGAACAATAGAATATGTTTTTAAGGTCTATTTTATAAATTGATAAAATATGAGCTAATAAAATAATCAACTTCCATGGACATACAAGGTGACCTTTACTCTCTCCATTGCAAATTTGCAACCTCAACTGCTCACACCTAGCATCTCAAAAACATAAATAGACCCTCCCTATTTAGTGAATATTGTTCAATATTTTATGTTCAAATGCATATACATTTAAAAAAATATATTCTCACTGAAGCCTGAGTATATTAACCAACAATGATGCTTGAACACTAATTTGAAAAGGAGTATTCTGAAGTAGAAAACCAGAAAGTAAAGAAAGAAGAAAGGAAGAAAGGAAAATTGTATTGCCTCCGAGGATAAAAACTTGGATAACAAGGCAATTAACTAAAAATCAGGAGCCCTGGTGGAGAAGTGGTTACATGCTGGGCTGTTCACCTCAAGGTCAACAATTCAAAACTACCAGCATCTCTGTGGGAGACACATGAGACTTTTTAACCTTAGAAACCAATAGGTGCAGTTCTACTCTGTTCCATAGGGTCTCTTTGAGTTGGCAAATACTTGATGGCAGTAAACATTTGAGTTTAGCTAGAAATTAAAATGGTGGATGAAGAATAGGTGGAAAATGAAGGACTATGTCTTATCTCTCATAATATTAATGCATTGATGTGTCAAGGGGAGATAGATCATGTATCCAACAATTATATTAAATGTTGTATCTTCAATGTTTTTCTTTCCTACCATTTGTCCCTTCTCCTTTGGTGATTTGGTATATATATATATATATATATTTAAGTTATTCTGAATTTTCTTAAAATACACTGATGATTTGTTCAGTTTTTGTTTCATTTTCCCCCCAAGTATTTCACTTTGGGATAGTAAATGTAGATCTTTGTGAACATTCACTAACTTTCCTTCTATAATGTCATCCAATATATTTTGCATCTCAGAAATTGGATTTTCCACCTCTAAAATATTGGTCTTTCTTTTTTTTTAAATTAATTTTATTAGGGGCTCATACAACACTTATCACAATCCACACATCCATCCATTGTATCAAGCACTTTTGTACATTTGTTTCCCTCATTATTCTAAAAATATTTGCTTTCTACTTGAGCCCTTGGTATCAGCTCCTCATTTCTTCCCTTCCCTCCCAGCCGCCCCCCCCAACTAACCCTTGATAATTTAGAAATTATTTTTATTTGTCATATCTTACACTGCCTTATAGTTATCTGTTATGTGTTATGGTTATCTCTACTTAATATTTTCAAGTGTTTCTCTCTCGTCCAGAGGATTTAGAGAAGAGCTACTCTAACGGTCTTAGTTTCCACTTTCCATGTAAACATTTCCTGAGTCTGTTGATGTGCATTAACATTTCTCTTTATGATTGTTTGCAGTTTCCTTACAATGTTTCATTAGATTTAGACAATGCAAACTTTTTGGTGCTGGATATATTGGTGTTTCTTTAATTATTCTTCAGTTTTGGTATTATATGAAATTAGATTACTTGAAGACAAAAAGAATCTTTAAAAGGCTTATGTTTGCCTTTGGTCGGTGGGGCAACACAGCTCATTTAGGGATTATTTTGTTACAATACTGAAGCAGTAATTGTTTAAATACTCTACAAAATTCTCTTGAATTGTTTATTTCTTTTGCTAACATATTGAAAGAGGAACTGTTCTCAGTTCCTTTTCACCTTAAGGACATTTCGCTCTGTTATTTTATGGGCGTTATTTTGCTAGGCGTAGTGGGTTCTTCGCATGTATGCAATGGTTAATACTCCTTTTTAGTCTTGCTCTGTTGCTTGTACTTCTCGAGTGTGCTGTCATGTGAAATTTTGCTGAGTTAGTCTTCCCAAATTCATATCTTTTCTTCTCCACTTTGACACATGACCAGACTTCTGCTGTGTTTCCCTTCAGCATGCTGCAGCGTGAAACACTCACCAATTAATTGCGCATTAATCCCATTTACTTCTCTCACTCAGGGATAATTTTCTTTTGCTATCTGGTGTTCAGTATATAAATATCAATGTTTCACAAATTTTCTTATGTCTTTGATAATTTTTTTCAAGGAGGTTAGTGCATTCAAATATTTTTATCCATCTTTGTTTGAAGTGGAAGTCTTTCAACCATTATTTGTTTAAATATTGCATCTTGTTTCTTTCTCTCCTTTTATTCTGTTGTTTTAACTACAGTACTGTTCAAACATACTGAATTCTTTATGCGCATTTTTCTATGCACTCTGTCTCATTGTGCTCTCAAAGAGCTGCCTTAGTTAATGTTGCTAGAGCAGAAACACCACAAATTGATGATTTTAACAAATGGGAATTTATTCTTTCATAGATTAGGAACCTAGAATTATGGATTCAAGGGACCAGTTATAAGGGGAGACTTTCTTTTAATGTTGGCTTTGAGGCAAGATCCGTAACCATCAGATTTTCTCTGGGCCTAGACATCCCTTAGTGCAGGGGTAAGGGCTCCAAAAGATATACTTTGCTGCCAACTCTTCTGTTTTGATGAAAATACGTCCCTCTGCTCTCTCCTCACTTGTTTACATTCTTTCATAGTTCTAATGAGATTGACTCCAGATAACCCAGAGTCCTATAGATTGCATACTGCCTGGTGAACATCGTACAGGTCAGCTTTTATACCATCTAGGATAATTATATTAGATTACAAACTAGAGAATAATAACATAATATTAAGAAAAAGAGCTTAGTTAGCCAAGTGACACACATTTCGGGGAAACATAATTCAATTCATAACACAAGATGTTCAATTTTGATGTACAGTGCAGTTTTTTCCCCCTGCTGTATTTATACCTGTTCTAGCAATTAACTTGAAAATTTCCTGTATGTTTTGAATTTGCAATTTTACATTTCATTTCTATGTATGGTGCCCATGGAAGTCATCCTTCTGGTTATACAGTATCATAATGGTATCAATTTCAAGTGTTCTAATATGTCTGCCCTTAAAAATTATAGTATTTGAATTTCTGTATGTCATTTTTGCTTTCGTTATTTGTTTTAACTTTCATTTATGTAGTCATGTCTCCTTAATAACTGCTTTTTGTTTGCTGTTTATTTTATGTCACTGTGAGTATTGCATATGGGGAATTTTAGGTATAATTTGAATCACTGTATGAAAAAGTGCTCCTCTCATTAGCGCTTTATCTTGCTCTGAAAATCAATTAGTCTATATAAACTATAATATAAACAGGAGGTGAGCTACTTATTAAAGATGTTCCGATTGCAGTCCATCAAAAAAACTCAGATATCACATGAAAGTCCCAATTGAACCAGTTTGATGTTTCCCTTGTGATCCCATACTCACAGAATCATGTCAAACATTACAGATGTTAAATAGCAAAAATTTCAAATGTTAAAATGTTTCCAAAATCAGTTTTATCTCTTTGGATCCTGATTAACCAGTGCTCACTGACTTGCAATGATTTTGATGCTTCCCAAAACATGACATTTTTGTTTGATTGTTTTGATGTTTTCAACCTTTGCTTAATCTTTATTTGAAGGTAAAATGGCATGTTGTATTAGAGAACTCTTCATTGTACTAAAAATTTTGCAGAGAAATTCAAAGCTAAAGTGTAATACTTAGTAGAGTTTATTAAAAGAGAGAGGGAAAAGCAATAGATGTAATAGATCAAAGTTGATATGAGTTCACGAGAAAGAAAAGTTCAAAAGTCTTTTCAGTAGACTATATTTAAAAATAAGGTCTTACCAAACAGTGAAAGCCACAATGACTAAGAGGAAGGGGTGATTTGGTATTTGCTCTTTCTGGTAAGTTATATATTATATTTTATGATAGCAGAGAAAGTCTCATATACATTTTCTCTTTTTCTAAAATACAGATCGTCTAAAACATCAAAAGGTAGTAATGAGAAACCGCACAGCAGTAACAACATTCATCTTGTTGGGACTTACAGATAATCCACAGCTCCAAGTTCTGGTTTTCATCTTCTTATTGCTGACATATATCCTGAGTGTAACAGGAAACTTGACTATTATCATTCTCACGTTCATGGATTCCCACCTCAAGACACCTATGTATTTTTTCCTTCGGAACTTCTCTTTCCTAGAAATCTCATTCACAACGGTCTGTATTCCAAGATTTCTATACAGTATAACAACTGGAGATAATACTATCACTTATAATGCTTGTGTCAGTCAAATATTTTTTATCGTGTTGTTTGGGGCCACCGAGTTTTTTCTCCTGGCTGCTATGTCTTATGACCGCTACGTGGCCATCTGCAAACCCCTTCACTACATGACCATCATGAATAACAGAGTCTGTACCATCCTTGTCGTCTGCTGCTGGTTCTCAGGCTTGATGATTATCATCACACCACTTGGTATGGGTCTCCAGCTGGAATTCTGTGATTCCAATGTCATTGATCATTTTGGCTGTGATGCAGTTCCTCTTTTTAAGATTTCCTGCTCAGACACATGGTTAATAGAACAGATGGCTATAATTTGTGCTATATTGACATTCATTATTACACTGGTAGGTGTAGTTCTTTCTTACATATATATTATCAAGACTATTTTAAATTTTCCTTCTGCTCAGCAAAGAAAGAAAGCTTTTTCCACATGTTCTTCTCATATGATTGTTGTCTCTATCGCTTACGGTAGCTGTATTTTTATCTATATCAAACCTTCAGCTAAAGAGGAGGTAGATATTAATAAAGGGGTATCTGTGCTCACTACATCTGTGGCTCCTTTGCTGAATCCCTTCATTTATACTTTGAGAAATAAGCAGGTGAAACAGGCTTTGAATGATGTAATTAAAAAATTTGCAGTTATTGCACACAAGTAAGAATGCACTGAATTGGAGCAGTCGAGTGAAAATGAAAAGCTAGTTCCTTAATATTTCTTCTGAAGTGCAACTAGGTTAATTTTCTCAGGATCTTTGCATTGTCATTTGTGAACCTATTCTGTTCAAGTAATTCCTTCCTGTCTTCTATCTCAATCAGAAAGTTACTAAGATAACACAAGAATGAATTTCTGTGAAATAAAATCTTTCATCTTCCACCCTCTTCTCCAAGGAGCCCTGGGAGAACAGTGTTTTGGGGTTGGGCTGCTAACTCCAAGGTCAGCAGTTCAGAACCACCATCTGGTCTATGGGAGAAAGAGAAGACTTTCTACTCTGGAAAGAGTTGTAGTTGGAACTCCACAGGGGCAATTCTATCCCGTCTTACAGGGTCGCTATGGGTTGGCATTGACTTGACGACAGTGAGTGATCCTCCTCCACTGGATTTTCCACTGCTATTATTCAATAAGAAATTTTTATAACTATAAAGAATAGTATCTATTATTCCTTGGATTTTTAAATTATATTTTTTCTTAAGATCCCTTGCTTTAAACATGAAATTTTCAGAAGAAAAATTGAATATTATAATATATTTATTTTTGTTTTAAGATATTAACACTATGATTATAATCAACGCTACAATCTTCCAAAGAAGATTCAGTAGGTGAGCCGTAAAAGATGAACAGTGAGTTCTTTTTTTGAGGTAGATATTAATAGTAGCATGAATGTTTTACTAAGTTCAGGATGTAAAAATCATAATCTAGTCCGAAGAAATTATCTCCACCGATAGTACAGTGTGCAGATAATAGAAATCTGGACAGAGAGTGCTGAGTGGAGCTTTCTCCAAGTGTCCTTTCTTAGGAGTCTGACTGAATGCATGTTTGTCAAGGGGAGTGCAGATGTATCAGCGTGACTATTTCAGCCTGACAAAGGAATGAGCAAATTAGAGATCAGGAAGGGCTTGCAGGTTCTGCCTAGGTAGAGCAACATATATTGTTAATACATCTTTAACGCTAGTTGGGAATTCTTTAGAAGTAAAGACCACGTCATAGAGTCAGCAAAACTACATTAGCTTCTTGTTTTTCCTAAATCAAGTTTATTGGAACGGAGACATACTCTTTCAGTGACATGCCGATGGCTGCTTTAATGGAAGCATCAAATAGACTTATTGCTCACAAATCTGAAAATATTTACTCTTTGTCTCTTTAGTTTTTAAGAGATTAGATATTTACTGTCTATTCCTTTACAGAAAGAGCTTGCACACTTCTGGTGTGGAATGTTTATATAACCACATCGTCTTAATCTGTCCCAATATCTCCATGAGGTGACTTTTCAACTTAATGGCCGTATTGAAAAATTTAAGGCTAGTCTTTCCCTGTGTGAGCTCTCCTCTGTTCTGAATATATTTCGAAACACAATTTAAGAAGACTATTGGGGTAAACGTCTCTATTCTGTCTACCTTAATTTCATACTAAACAATAAAGCATATCACTATTTTATAAAACTTGACAACTCTCCTATTTTTAACTTTTTTAGGGTAAATTTAGGCAATAAATACCTATAAAACTTGCATTTCACCAATATATTTCCTGAACAAAAAAATAGAGCAAAATAATCCACTTATAATTCAACATTCAAGCTTCAGGAATATATTTTTTCTACTCACTAAAACTTTGGTATGCCATTTGCATTACCTGTTCACGTTTTGATTAAGGTCTATTACATATTATGCATTTAAGACAACACTCTTGAATTTAGGTAGTGCCTTTCAATAGCTGTTTTACTGAGGAATCACAAGTGCAGTAGTCCAGCAATTGTATAAAAAGATTCACTCATGTGTGGCGATGACCATCTTAAACTGAAAGCATCCTCCAAGATAAAAATTATCCCATTGTTCTAGCTAAGTACTGATTATCTATCTATCTATCTATCTATCTATCTATCTATCTATCTATCTATCTATCTTTTATCTATCTATCTGTCTATCTAAGCTTGATGAGGTAAAACTGGGACCATAATAGTAAGAAGAGGATATATTAAAAGGGAGGATATATATATGTATATATACATACATGTGTTTTAGGTGTAAAAGCAAGCTTCAGAGTTTATCATCCCTTTTAGTGTTTCCTTTAAATTTGTCTTAATTAAGGTTCTCTATTTTATGTCTCTGATCTCTCTGTTCTATTAATCACTGAGATATCTATACAGAAAATGCCCAGACAAAATTCTTGATCAAAGACTTTATTAAGGACATTAACAAATTGTATTGCCACTGAGAAATCTTCAGGTTTACCAATATGTGTTGCAAAGTTTCTTGTCTCCTAATAAATGTCCAAAGGCACAAATTAGTCTGTTGTAACCCTCACTTTGAAGGCACTCAGCTCTACTTCCATGGGTCAGCAAGCCCAGTTCCCTGAATTAAGTGACCAGAGGCTGCACACTCCAGAATGCCTCAGCCCAAAGCAACTCAGCTTCACGTCATGGGTCTGAAAGTTCAACTTCCCTTACAAGTGCCCAGAGGCACCCAACTCCGCAAGCCAGCCTCCTGCACAAAGGCACCCATCTTCACGTGCTCCGTGGGTTGGGAAGTCCATCACCCTGCTCCATGCTCCGGCTCCTGGTTCTGCCACGTCTCCTTTGATAGTACAACTGTCATCTGGATACAGGGTTTCACTACGCAGGGATCTTTGGTCCAGAAGATGTGCTCCACTCCTGGGTTTTGGTGGTAATGAGAACTCCATTCCTGCTTCTCTGAGGGTTCATTTTATAAACAGCAGGATGGCACACCTGGGAATTCTGCTCATATTTCCTCATAGAAGAATCCTATCAATGTTTCCTCTTGCCTTCTTAGCAGACCCATGCAGGGAAAGGTCATTTGTTGGAATTTTAGTTTTCTGTATTTTTAAAATAATTTTATTAGGCGTTCTTACAGATATTATAACAATCCATAATTTAATGAGATCAAGAATAATTGTACAATTATTGTCACTATCATTTTCAAAACATTTTCTTTCTTCTTGAACTCTTTGATATCAGCTCCCCTTTATCCCCTACCTCCCCCATCAGGAAATCTTATTATTATATTAAAAATGGTTATTATTATTATAATTTTTTTCACCCTATGTTACACTGTCCACTGTATCTGTTCATCTAGAATTCTGTTATTTGCTCCCCTCAACTGGGGTAATACAGTCATCTTTGCTATCAGTTCGCTCCCCAACCCCCATCTATTCCCATATCCCCAGGGAAATGTTGCTCCCAATACTATTTCTGACAGGTTTATCTCTGTTGGATTTCAGGTATCAAATGATATTCACTATACAAGTGAATATTCTCAGGTCTAACAAGATTAATGAGGCAACACTGGGACCATAATAGCAAGGGGAAGCTATATTAAAGAACTACAGGATAGTTATGTGTTTCATCAGTGCTATCCTGTGCCGTGGATAGACTTCCCTCCCATATGGCCCTTCTGGGAGGAACTTTCCTATTATCTTCCTGGTGGGTTCTGGGTCTCCACTTTGTCTGTGCTTCTTCACATCAACTTGATTGCTTGTTTTTGAACTTCTGATACTTATTTTTAGTATTCTAATGACTCTTTTGCTTTCTTTATATATGATGTCCTTGATATCACCCCTTAAATCCATGTGATCTTTGCTCATTAGTATTCATTGCATTAAATTTATTCTTGAGATGGCCTATAAATCCAGCTGTGGTATAGTTAAGGTTTTACATGACTCTAAGGGAAAAGTGTTCATTTCATTTAGCTTCAATTTGAACTTTCATGTAAGAAATAGATCATGTTGTCCATGATTAGCTCGCAGTCTTATCCCCTTTCATGATAGTGAATTTCTATGTCATCTCTTTCCAATGGTATATTTTATTTGATCCCTGTATATTCCACCTGACAAAGTTCCTGTGTATAGTTGTCAGTTATTTTTTTTTAAACAGAATTTTCAATGAATAAATAATGAGTACATGTTGGGCTGCTATGTGAAAGACCAGCAGTTCTAACCCCCCAGGTGCTATGAGGGAGAAAGACGAGGCTTTGTGTTCCTGTACAGATTTACAGTCGTTAACACTCTATTGAGAAGTTCTACTCTGTCCTCTAATGTTTCTATGAGGTGGAATCAGCTCATTAGCTCATTGGTTTTGCAAAATTCAATCATGCTTTCTCCAGTGTTATTTGCATCACTAAGATAATATTTGATACATTATTTTAACTCTCACATTTTAATCATCAGTATTAAGGTCTCTTGATTGTATGTTTGGTCATTTTCACTGGAGAAGTTGATAAAATCCTCCATTTTTGAGGTACTCTAAAACTGTTCACTGCTGACTGTTGAGAAACATCATTTAAATCCCTTACAGGAAAATATTTCAATAGTTGTTAGTGTGGAAATCAATCTGATAATATCTTCGAATATGTAGGTGTAAGACCATTGTGCTAGGCAAATCAAAGTGGAATTAAATAGAAGAAACTGTTAGAAATATGAAGTATTCAATATTAAGATTACTTCAAGAAGTCAACTTCTTAACTTTATTTGCTTTTATTTATGGCCTTCAAAATATTAGGCTGCTAAACATGAGGTGGGAAGTTCAAGCCCAACAGCTTCTTTTTGGGAGAAAAATGAATGTAGGAAGGCCGATATAGAGTTCTGAGACTGAATTATCTCAGAAGTAGGTTTGATTTGCTGTTGCTTAAAATTAATTAAATTATTTAAAAGCCTGTAGTTATTTTCTGAGAAAAGGTATTAATATGGTTTAAATATAAAAGTAATAGATCAAAGAATGAAATAAGAAAAGGAGAGAGTATATTTGTGTTTTATTAGAGAAAATGTATTATGTAAGTAAATTAGTAAAGGATGTGTATGTTAACACTTAGGGAAAATTGAAGGACCTGAATAGAAATGAAGATATAAGGGATAAATATATAATTATTTACATAATTATATAATAGATACATTTAAAGCATACTAAATTAAAAGATATAAATTTTCTTTCAT